CAGAACACTTGCTAATACGGTACTCCCAGCAGAAGCTAATTCATCTGTCAACCGGCCCAGTCCGCTTGATGAAAAACAAGGTTGTTACAGATACATTTACTGCACTGGGCTCGAGCCTGGTCCAGTGATGGTTCTCAGAATTGTGGCCAGTCAGCTTGCATGGGACATGAAGGGAACGTCCAGTCCAACCTCTGAGGTGAAAAGGATCTACAATGGTTAGGAGGAAATGTACTAGAAGGTACAGGGGAGACACAGCAATAAAAAATAATAAATAAAAATCTACTAAATGGACACAACTGCGATATGACTTTTCCAAACACTAAAGCTGTTGTACCTTTTCCAGGTAACAGCAGCAAATCTCTATCCTAGATAGGGCTGTGCAATATGACGATTTGTATCGGATCACAAAATAAAAACGTCTATCGTTTCATATTATGCTCCATCGTTTATTTTGTGGTGTCGCAAAAATACGCTGTTTATGGCAACATTTTTTCATCATCTGGATGACAGTTGGCAAGGTTACACGCCACCACCTGGGATGTGGCTCTTGTATGGAAGTTTTGATTGGACTTTATTATTTGAAACCCACAAAAGACAATCCACAAATATGTACCATGATCCACAAATACTCAACGATCCACAAACATATATTTTTGAGTTGTGTCAAATCATATCCACAAAAATTTCGATTTCTACATGTGAAACATGTTTTGCACATTTGTGGATCACTTCCCGTCTATTCGTGTGCTGTATTACATTCAAGATTCCCTCCTATTTATTTGCAGATTTTTGTCCAGTTCATACGTAAAATATTTTTTTTAATAGTTTTATGTTGTTAACTCACCACAAAGTGATGGCAGGGTTCCATAAACCTAAATAATACAGACAAGTCCTATAAAGTGTGCTTTAAGCATTAAACCATGGGGGGACAATGTATATCATGTAACTAATATGTGTTTTTATACGTATTTATTAATAATCGCACTGTGTCTATTCACCACCAGTGACTTTAGCAAGACTGCTGGGCTATTGAATGTGAAGTGTGCATATACAAACAAATATACCTGAAAAACCTCACAAATTTCGGCAGATATTACAGCCGGAAAACTGTATACTCTGGCTGTAATATTGTTCAACAAAAGCAAGCAACACCCATTGGTTTTCCAGATTTCTTTACGGGCGAATTTGAATTAATATTGCAATGTTTGTGTGTGAAATTCACGTTCAATAGCCCAGCTATCTTGTTTACAGTCACTGATGGTGAATGGACATCAGTGCAATTATTAAATAAATACATATAAAAACACATATATGAAAGTTACATGGTGTGCACTGTCCCTCATAGTTTAATGCTTAAAGCACACTTAACTGGTTATGTGTCTATCACTTGGGTTTATACTTATTAGTCCATTAATTCTGTCTTTTGTACTTTAAATGGACACAGTACAGATACTATTAGCTACAGAAATGTATTGCGAGGGAATGCAAAACTATTATAACGACACTGTAAAAAATATTTTCCCACCCAGACCTCTTAGGGGCTCTGTTTACCACATCTGATCTGCAGGGAAGAAAAAAAAAATCACAAAAACATCACTATCCACAAATACGTATTGTTAATTCACGTTGTGTAAAATCATATCCAGATATACACAGCGATTTGTGCCCGTGAAAAGGGTTTTGTACATTTGTGGATCATTTCCGATCTATTTGTGGACCGCGTTACATGTGACCTTGCTCCTTTTTATTTCCGGATTTTTCTCCAATTCCTACCACAGCTGATCTGTAGAAAAAAATCCATAAATATGAGGTGCAGTCGCGATATATATCATTATCAGGATATGAGATGACATATTGGAATATGAGATTTTCGTCATATCGCACAGCCCTAATTCTAAGCAGTAAAAACAAGGCTTCTCTAGCTAAGACCCAGAATGTAATGTCTCCTTAATAAGCCAATGTCAGCTCAAGAAACACAATATAAAACAAAACATTGCAACTTGGATAGAAAAACCAAATTACCCATAATCCTTAATTATGTTAAGGATTTGAAAACAAGTCCTTAACTCCTCATGACCTTAAAAGTTATTGCAATTTTTTGTTGTTGTTGTTGGACCCAGTCCAGGAAATGAGGCAGACAAGATAAACACATTATTGTTAAAATAATATTAGGCAAAGAACAGAATATTCAATTAAAACCTTCCACTTTCCCTGCTCTTTTTGCCTAACTAATCTTGTAAGAGATGCATTCCAGAGTCGATTTGTTCACCAGGAGCCTCTGAACCACTTGCAGCAGCCTTCATGAATCACAGACATATAGTCTCCGTCTCTGATATCGGATGTCCGACCTATTGCCGCCATCCTGGCGGTCATGTGACCGCTGTGGTTTCTCAGCAACGGCCGGGTGGATCCACTGCACAGCCTTGCCCCCGGGGCTCCACCGAGTGCCTTTTAAGAACCACCTTCCTGCCAGGGCTCCGGGGAGGTGCCGGTGTGGCCGTGACTGCGGCTGGGCCCCCAATGCCCTTGTGGAACGATGGTACTAAGTAGCTTCCCACAAGCTTTCATTTGCGCTGCCCTCACTCTGCATTATTACTACGCATATAAGACGGACCTTGGCATATAAATGCGAGCTGATGATATTTGGCCCGCAGTGAATTCCCCTTCAAAATGGTTACTGTAATGAGCTAATTCTAGCCCAGAAATAACAGAAATACTACTTTGATACTACCACAACAAACATAACAATAAAACTACATCAATCCAGACAATTAGCGACACCCACAAAACATTTTAAAGCATTCAGTAGTTCATTAAATGCTAACTCAAATCAACAACCCATGTAAGACTTTGTAGAGCCCAGGACAGAAAATGGTGACACCTGTGACACATAAGGTTTCCTGATGAAAACCAGCATGTTTTATTCATTACAGGACCTTACTCTGATGTAGTACATTACACTCTAATGTACAGCAGAATCAAGAACTCAACAGGTCTGCCTTTCAATCACAGGGAGATCAAAACACAAACCATTAGAGGGGACACCTGAACATCTATTTGTGTTCCCTGTACTGTTAACAGCTAGGTGTTAACCACGTTCTTGAACTGGAGTGGTAAATTCTGCAGGTCCAGCTGACACTCTCACACTGCAGATCAGTTTCATGGTCCATCTATCTATGACAAGAACTGGACACTTCATGAGAATCTGCGCATTAAATGTCTGCATTGTAATGGCAGATGTCTAGCAAATTTAGGTGGGTTTTTTTTTTGTAGGGCTCATCCCAGTTGCACATACAGAATACTGGAATGGAAATACAAAAACACATTTATAATTACAGAGATTTTACAAGAAATATTATTTGCAGCACGCAGCCCTAACAAAAAACAACTTTTGGAAATGTCATAATGTTACAATAACCTGAGGTCCTTTTAAGAAGAGTCTCTTTTTTTCCCAGATAAAAGATCAGTGTCACTAAAGGCTTTGCCCCAATCACAGCCGCCGCCATGAGTAGAACCACAATGAACTGTGGGCATAAAGGCACAGAGTGTCTTAAATGCCATTTCCCAGGGGTCCTGCTTCATTCACATGACTGGGAAGGATGGGTGGAGTTCAGCTTAATATGCATAAGAATAGCATCTGAAAAACATTAATGAGGACCTCTGTTCATCTTAGGGGTAATTAGCAAGTCGGCGCTACAAATTCTGAGGCATGGCAGAGGAAAGAGACTGTATTAAAGAATTAGCAGTGAATATACAGACTTAACTGGCAAAAGTACTTGTATTTGTAAAAGTCTTTGTAACCTGCATTAGATTAACAGAAGCTGCATACTGTTACATATATTTATCATTATTAGCTACGCATGCACAAGTGTATAAAGCACAATGTTTAAATCTGTTGGCATTTTGTTTTTAGAAATTGTTTTTGTATAAAATATCAATAGTTCCTTGGTATAATCACTATGTAGCTGATGTTTGCCTTTACTTCAAAGCAAACTACACAGCTTGAAGATTCAAATCGGCGCATGAATTACAGCGGCATCAGGGCAAGGTCTACATTGCTTGGGAATACTTATCACTCATTTATCCTATTTTGGTCTTTCAGCCAAAGGCTGCTTTTGATGGCAATGAAATGAGTTAAAAAATAAAAAAATCAGGGAGGCAACAGATAAAGACCATGTCGACGAAAACCAGGCACACGGAGGCAAAGTTTGAAAATTACACCACCTTAGGAAACAGGGACTTTGCACCAGCTTGCATCATAACTGGGAAAACATGTGATATCAGGCATTCTGCCGGACACCTATGAAGACCAGGAGGTATGCCATTCTAAAGCTAGCATCTGAAACAAAGAATACACTGTAATGTCAATTCCAAGCCACTGCACACCCGTTAGAAATGTCAGGGGGAAAATATAACAAAGATATTAAACGGCTCCTTAAATATTGCAAGCTGCCATCTGCCAAGATGATATCCACAGATGTACAAGAAAGAAAAGCTACATTAAAAACAACACAATCCTTCAGAGAGAAACTGGTTTTGGTCAAACGCCTCTTTGTACATGCAGTTATTTAAGATTCATGGCTTTTTGACTAGGCATCAGCATCATATTGTAATTGACTCCACTAACATGATATTTTGGGTAAAAATGACAAATCGCAAATTTTGTCCAAGCCTGGAGACTAACAACCAGTAATATGATAATATATACTAATATGTCAATTGTATTTGAGTACACCAGCGCTAGATTAGCCGATGTTAGCATATTTACAGGAAACCGAATCCCAGAATGTAAAAAAGGCAATTACAAAAATACGTATCTCTGAAAAACTGAACATCGATACAGGCAGTCAGAGAGGGACAATAAGTGCCAGAGGTTAGTTTCGAGGGTCAGGATAAAACCCATTAGGAGCCATAAGAGAGTCACTCGAGAAGCGCGAGGTAAATCGGTGTGAAACCCGGAGCCGGCAGCTGCCCGCGTCTGCGCAGGTGAACAGTCTTACCTGCAGACTTCGGGGTGAACTTGTCTCTGTTGGCTGCGCAGACGGCCAGGAGCCGGTAGCCCAGGTCCAAGTCGAAGCCCTGCTGCGCGGCGACACGGCTGACCACCTGCGCGGGAAAAAGAGCGGTAAGAGCCGTGGGGACACGCTGGAGGAGCCGGTTCCGCGTGTGGGGCGTTATTAGAGCACGCGCGGACGCGAGGTGCTCGGCTGCAGCAGCAGAGCCCGGATACCGCGCAGCACAGCCCTCCTGACTTAACCGTGGAGAGGATTATGCTCAAAAGCATTCCCTCAGGAAATGCGGGAGCAAAGCCAGTGCTGCAGACACGACTCCTAGCTCCTCACCTCAAAGATCTTTATAAATAACATTGGCAAGGTTCTTTAATGCTATTTTAACTCCATTCATTATCTGCAAACACTCCCTGCTTAACACACGTGCAGCCACAGGCATTATTATTATTAATAATCATTTATGTAATATTAATTTCCTTATCTATCTGACGACAGCCACATTTCCGGGTCACCCTGTTCCCGGCGTGGTAATGTGTCGTGTGCAGCCCGTTCCATTAAGCCGAAACCGGCACCGTGATGTTCAATTACGTGTCCGGGATGCCGGACAAGGGCCTCGCTGTTAAGCCTCACTGGCCGCTGCATGAGGAATTAGGTCAGAGCGCGACCGTACCATCTTGACTCCAAGAAAGTGGTATTTAAAGAAAATAATACGGATTACATAAAAAAAAAACAGAATATCTGTATCATTAGAAACCACTCTATACTGAAGCCCACTGAGATGTGACACGACATGAACACGCCCCTAGTGGCTCAATAAATCATTACATGGCAAACTCCCCCTTCAGCGTCCCTGTTATTCTGCAACCCATTCACTTTAAAATACACATTACATACCAGCGGGGGACACGGACTAGAGGCTTTTTTTTGTTGAAATCGCTACTGCTGCACTCAAAATCAATGTGTACTGCTGCCCAGCACTCTACTGTGACATTATCGTATGAAAATATACTCCGTCGATGCTTTCCGACACCAATAAAAGGTAGCGGCGCATCACTGACATAAAGCTGCGCGTTGCAGAGGATACGTGTACGTTAGCTGCTTATCACCACTGCGCCGACCAGCGGAGGCTAATGTCCGTCACTTACTCCAGCGCACGCAAAACCCAGCATCTGCCGTCGTTCTGCTCCCGCGACTGCGGGTCTGCTGAATATTCTTAGCTTTATGGTGGATTTTTTTTTCCTTTCTTACAAATGCCGTCCTTTTAAAGTAACCGATTCCTTCCATTCGGGAGATCCAATCACCGCGCGACACTCGCGCCAGCTGCAGTTAAAAGGAGAAATTCCCATCGAGAGCCAGAGCCCAGGTGTGCTGCCAGAATGGGGCTCTGTGTAACTCTGCTGGAAGGCGGACGGCATTCCGATCGGAAAGCAAACATAAATGAACTCCTATTCGCCCACGAAGGGGAGACTGCGCTTCTGCCGTCAAAAAGCAAAACGAGAACGAAATATTATAACGACACTGTAAAAGTCTATTCCACACAGTACTCTTGTATCACGCTGCTTCCAGTTGGGACGAGTTCAGACAGATATGAAATAAGAAATGAACACGAAGGAACACAAAACTGATTAAATGTCTTGGTTTGGGTGACTGAACAAACATTCGGCAGAATGTTATGCTTTCGATGATTAGACCTACCCAGAGATTTTTTTTTACTGCTTGGCTAAACCCAGTTGGGAGCTGTAAAAGGAGATTCCTGTAAAAATATGGGATCTGAAAGCTGAGCATGCTGGGACTGGAATTAGGGTACCCACAGCATAGCAGGGCAGTCTATTCAGTGCCTAAGTGAAAAGCCTTGGGAAGGAGGGGGGAACTGAACAGACAAAAACAGCAAACAAACAGACAAGTGGTAATAATAATACTGCACAGATCTGAGGAAACCACCAGTTCCAAGGTAGTTAAAACTGAAAAAATAAAATGTTTTTTGCTCCCAATCTGCTCAAGACTTTTTTGTTCCCCAGCAGCTTTATTTTCATTCACTCAAGATCTTTAAAGATGTTCTTTACATCCTTAAAGGATAGGCTGCTAATCACAGGGACAGATATTCATAATAATCAGATATTACTGAAGTCTCTGTAGCTCATTTATTGCTTAACTGAACAAGACCCGGGAACGGATCCCTAGAGCACAGTCAGTGCCTGATCTCTAGTGCCTGATTCCCTGCAGGCTGGATCCCCAAAGCACAGTCAGCACTGGATCCCCAGGGTCTGATTCCCTATGCTAGATCCCCAGAGTGCAATCAACACTGGATCCCCAGTGCTCGACTCCCTGCAAATCGGATCCCCAGGGTACAGTCAGCGTCAGATTTCTGCCTCTATCAGTTTATCGGGAAGAGACCAACACACAGGTCACTGTCACACTTTCGTTAATGTGGTGGTGCCAAAACGCTCAAACTTTTGGTGTTCAAGATCACTGGGAAGCCACTTTAGTAATCTCCCAACAGGCACTGGAAAAACGACTCCGTCCAGCACATAAAATCACTGGGCACGAACAGTGAAAACGGACATTCTGTGAAAATGGACGGAAATCCAGCATCGCTCCCCGCAGTGGACGATTCCCAAGTTCTGTTTGCGCAGCCCAGTGTCGTAAATGTGTCCGCTCTGGTTTTCCGACAGACAGGGTGCGTCAGGTGGATTCGGACGTCTCCTGGCACGGATTCCCGGTGATGTGGCGGACGGCACCGCTGGTTTGGGTCTTACCGTAAGGCAGCCCATCAGGCTCTGCTCAAAGGGTCGCTGGAAGGCCCGCGGGTCGCCGCACCAGTCCAGCAGCTCTGTCGCCGCCGTCTGGAAGTTCGCTGGGTTCTGTAAGTGCTGGGGGGGGGGGGGGGTGACAGAAAGAGGCACCACCTCATTAACTGAACTCATGCACACTCTCGCAGTCCATTCCTGTGTTTTCCTTGGACCCTGGCCTAAATGTGACTGTAATTAGAAATCTGTGTTACCCTGGTACCTCGAAATAAATTATAACAAGCACTGTAGTTCAAGGGATTATGGCAATTTCTTTATTTAGCACATGCTTTTATCCAAAGCAATGCACAATTGAGAAAGCCGGGTCAGATGGTCCCTGGAGCAATTGGGGGGGGGGGGGTGTTTAAGGGCCTTGCTCTGGAGCCCCAACGGTAACATCACTCCGCCAACTCCGGGATTTGAACCTGTGACCTTCCGTTCACAGACACAGCACCCTAACTCACTGAGCCACACACTGCCGCCTTTATGCCCCTAATTATAGAAGAACACAACAGTATCCAACACAAAGCTTTTCCGTCCCACCCACCTCGGATAGTCAGCGAAGGGACTTTGGGTCACGTCCCAGGCTGGCGGGGACATTCCGCTCATTTACGTCACTTCCTGTGGCATCGTAAGCCACCCGGACAGCTCTGCGCGAGGATCAGGCTGCCCCCGCCTCGCTGGCTGGCTGACTAAGCGCTGGGTGACCTTGGCAGTCCCTTCATGCCACGCTTCACCCACCTTAATCCAGTCTTCCCATGACCTCAGGTGACGCGGTCACAAAGGCCGAGGAACAACCGCGTCGTTTTTCTTTTAAAGGAGTACGGACCGCTGTTTCCTCCCGCTAACCGTCTTAATTCACACCCAGAGTCTCGCTGCCACTTGTGACGGCTGCTTTTCTGAAAATGTTTGACAGCACGGATATATTTCGTGTAAAATTATGGCGCGGGGGCCCCTCGCTGATCTTGCAGCCTCTGAGCCGTGTGTAATTTCGGCAGAGACGTGTTGTTGACACGTTCCCCTTCCTCGCGTCTGAATTCCCCTCAGAGTCGCCGCTGCCTCCCACGTTCCAAGGCCGCCTGCAGGGGGCAGTAGAGTTCAAAACTTGACAAGGGAAAGCTTTCATATCAATTTACAAAGCCCTTATTTGACAAGGGCCGGATGAAACCGGTCTGGCTTATTCCACAAGCGATGCCGGCATTCCCCTACGAGGGAATCTCCGGCGGCGAGAGGTGGCGTGGATGCCGGCAACGGCGAAGGTCTCGAAAAACAAAATGGCGATCTACGTTCGACGCTGCTAAATTTAGCCGGGTTTAGATACTGTGCACTGGAACAATCAGCATTCAGAGGGAGAAGGCAAGATGGAGTACACAGGGGGCTGCGAGAGCGATAAAAAGCTCCACAGCTTGTTGACGCGGGCACCCTCCCTCCGCCCTCGCCACGATCTGGTCCCGCCAGCGCCTCCATCAGCCAGCCATGCGGCATGGCGTGCCAGGAATTCTGGGCCGGGCTGGCAGCCCCGTGTCACAGATGTTCCCGATTTGCCGGCCAAATCCCACCGATCCACCAGCCCCACCGGCGGACAGAGAGAGAAGAGGCCCCTCCCAACATGGGGCGCCTGGGTACGGAACCAAGAGGTTCAGCGGTATGATGCAGTGTGATGTGACGTTCCTCCTCCATCACAAGGAGGCCACCCCCCCACCAAATAATAAAAAAAGAGGAGGCGGTGAGGAAGATCCACCCCAGAAACTTTGGGAACAACAGCCACTGGATTTGTGGGAAGGAGCATATTTTTCTGCCCCCAGCACCATGAAGGGAAGCAAACCAGTGTCTCGGAACCGCACCAGAGGTTCTAGATCAGGCTGACTTTAATACACACAGTCACTGTCAACATGGGTGTGTGTTACACGATTCCACCTGCCTGATCAGAGATATCACTCCTTCTGGAAGTGCATTTTATATATGTGTGTGTGTGTGTGTATATATATATATATATATATATATATATATATATATATATATATATATATATATATATATATATATATATATATATATATACACATACATACACACACACACAACTTTCAAACCTCTAAATTTATATAATCTGTAATGACTGCTTTTCAATACTTGATTAATTGTTCGAGTCGCTCTGGAATCCTGCTCCAGCAAAGACAGATTAGACGTCTTCCCTCTCATCCCGGCCAGATGGGACCCAAACAAAAAAAGGGGGGGAAAAACAGCCCGAAACTAATCCAGTTAGCAACTTGACTCTGCGGCTCTGCTCTGGTCGGTTTCACTTTGAATTTGCACCAGAGACCCTTGACTCTGGCAGCGAGGGGGGAGGGCAGGGGGGGTGAACTTTCAAGTGCAGAAGGATTACAAATTACTTTTTCGACTGTCGCTAATATGCTACCCCTTTAACATTCATAAGAATTTTCCCAACGTCAGACAAGCTATATCTGTGCAAATTAACAATGAAGTTATATTACAAAAAAAATTCCAAGTCTGTTTCTCCTTAAATACTGATTTTGTTCCTTCTGCTCTCAAACCCAGTATCCCAAAAGTGGACCGTGGCGGATCCGTCCGGAATCTATTTGCCTGGGAGAAGGACCCCCTGAATAATCGAAATCCTGCCTAATAATCTTCCTTCCGTACTCTGAAGGAAATGTTGACCTACTGAATAAATAAGCCGGTGGTCTACCAGGCAAGATATAAAGGGCATTTATCACATCTGCGATTGTCTGTCACGTAAAGGGGGTGCTATCAGCTAGCTTCAGCTTCCGACAAACGATTTCAACGCTCTTATGCTATTACATTAATTGAATGTGGATTCAATTAAGTGTATTTTTGTAATTACATATTTACCCATGTGCCATATCTACAGTCTGTAAATTATGTAAATTACACATAAGTCGAGCGGTCTCCGCCGATACGGCGCGCTCAGCCGGGAGAAGCTGTCGGCACCTCGTCTGAGCCGATTCGGCGCCGTAAGAACTCTGCCGAGAAGGACGTCTGTGTGACAGCCCGCATCGTCGGGGGACTGGAAATTACGCCTTGTGCTGGGAAACGACTTCCTTTCCCCAAGCTTGGAATAAATCCTCTGAAACACTCATGGGCTGAGACCAAGAAAACTGGATCCTTTTCCACGTGCCGTGTGTTTTAATCTACCCCTGTGCTCTGGCGGCTAATCTTTGGGGGGGGGGGGGGGTTTAAAAGGGGGTTTTTTGCATCGAATCCCCCCCCCCCCCCCCCCC